TTACGGCCACATCACGTTGGAACACCGGTTCCCGTATGATCGCCTAAGTTAAGCCTGGTCGAGCCTGGTCAGTACCTAGATGGGAATAATTGATCGGAATTGCTAATCGGAGAGCCAAGTTCCAATTTCTGTTGGATTCGTTATATACATTTATGCGCATCACATTGTAACACCGGTTTCCGTGCGATCATTGGAGTTAAGCAAGGTCGAGTTTGGTCAGTACTTAAATGGGTGATCGCTTTGGAATACCAGGTGCTATAAGCTAGGGTGTGCGGCAGGTGTAATGGATAATTGTTAATCGGAGAGCCGATTTCCAATTCCAGTTGTGCTCGTTATATTCACTAACACTCAAATACTGTTGAGAAAGGTATGAATCCACCTCTTCTCCCCCATCTATGGGTTAATTACTAAGGCTTGTATCACTAAATCATTATAATCTCAAAAAAGAAATTTTTACAATCTTAAAATATTTTTTGGCTTTAAATAACCCACAAAAGGATAATAAGCCATAGAAAAACTAATAAATAAAATAAAAAAAACTAATAAATAAAAAAAAACTAATAAATAAAAAAAATTCTTTTTCCGGCAATTGGTTAAATATTAAGATTTTCATCACTAAATCATTATTATCTCAAAAAAAAAAATTCTTATAATCTAAAAATATGTCCTGGCTTTAAATAATCAGCAAAGAATTGATAAACCGTAAAAAACGAATTAATCAATCAACCTTCAGAATGTGGATGATCATGGCTCTCTTCTTCCTGCCCATTGTAGCTCTTGAGAGGATGTTTCTCCAACTACTACAATCTTAACCGCTTCAAGTCTAAGGGTCAACTGATATCTACCTTACATATCCTCAAAATATGCACTTCTCTATCCTTCCTCATTCCCTTACAATAACTGCATTCAGTAATCCTCTACCATAATTGGCTCTTGAGCCTTTTACTGTGTCAGCAAAAGCAAGAAAAACAATCTACTGAATCATTCAACATGGTAAAAAGGTTATAAATCTAAGAATGCTTTCAATTCTGACACTGAGATTGCTCTCAAAATTGATTAGCAAGTGAGAAATGCATATACAGTCCAGTAATTGGGGAAAAATATATGATATTTTTTAAAATTCCCAGCATCCTTCATTCGTGCGCATGTGCAGTCGCACCAACCTAACAAATTTTGCCCGTTAAAGTTCTAAAGGACGAAACCCGTCAGAAAAGAACTTTTTTCCACTTTGTCATACATTTTTCCTCACTTATAAATATACAAATTCAGATACGAATAAGTCTTTATATTTGTCCCAATATTTACTAAAACCTTAATGCAACTTGCGGAAGAATAGTTAGTTCCTGGCAGAACTTCTATTATCACATTGTGGAATATATACTAACAAAAGTGATGGAATGAAAAATAAAAAGAATCTAAATGAAATCGGCTAGATTTTTAAAAAAAAATAATCAAAATTCCCAGCATCCCTCGTTCGTGCGCATGTGTAGTCGCATCAAGAATAAATTTAGTCCGATGAAGTCCTAAAGGACGAAACCCGACACACGAAAACTTTTTCCACTTTGTTATACATTTTTTCTTCCAATATTGTTCTTGATATATAAATTTTATATATCGTTATCTCACACAGTCCAGTAACAAAATCAAGTTTAAGAATCATAGTACCCTATTAATGAAATTTATTAAAAAAATAAAATGAAATGGGTGGAAGTAAATTAATTTACCTTGACAGTCTTGAAATGTCTGATAATGACTTGATTGGCATGAACATTAAATGATGAAGTGCACAAATATCTGTCTGTTCATGATAAAAATAAGCAAGCCTGACAAGCATTCAATCTTGGCTAGGAATTAACAATAAGTATGCTGTGTCCATTCAAAGCGTGGGTGATCATGGCTCTCCACAATTTCCTTTCCTTTGTAGATCTTAGTAAGTTTTGTGTTTTTGTTGTCTCTCCTAATCCCTGTTCTTCCAATCATTTACACAAACTCCTTAGTTAGGTTATTCCCTGCTTTCCTGTGTCCCTCTTGCCTTCAGTATGTCCTGTAAGTGTTAAATTTCCCAAGCCCTCTTTCCTCATTATGTACCCGATAAATTTTATTTGCCACTTTCTGATTCTAAGTATAATTGCTTTAGTTCGCTTCCATTTTCTTCCTCGTTGCTCACATGTTCAGTCTATGGAATTGTCGGAATCTTTCTGTAGAAATTTATTTCTGTTGCCTCATGTCTCTTCAGCTTTGAAGAAATTGTCCAGCACTCACTGCGATATAAGAGAACCGATATTGCATAACTGTTCAGTACTCTTCTCATCGAAGCAAGTACAAATACAACAGAAGAAGATTTGAGAAAACGTATGGAAAATGACTAGCTACGTTAAGTTGATTAACTTAACGACCTACTTTGTTGGGTTATTTAATGTTCAATATAAAGTCCAAATATAGTACAAAAATCACAATAAATATACAGAGATTTGTCGTTTTGTTACGGAATTATCATTTATGTTACATGCGCCATTGCCAACTGTTGAAGGGATATATTTAATGAGAGAGACGTAGAGTAGTAATATTAATTGATGCAATTATCGAGGCTTACGAGTTTCTTAAAAAAAAGAGTGAAAATAAATATACTAGCAATTACGTGCATATAACATGTTTTATTAGCTGAGCAAACTGGATAGAAAAAAATACAAATGGAGGCGTGATAGCAGATATGTTATTTTTCATAAAAACGGGCGTGTGAAATTCACATGAAACATTGTAAAAAAAACTTACATTTTGAGAAGAGTTCTTTGTTAGATTCGTAGAATTAATTGATATGCCTAAGTAAACTTAGGGTATTTGCCTGCTGTATACTTTTTGTGTTGCATTTATGCGCCATTAGGGTTGCTGTTGGCCAAAAGCCCCCCCCCCGTCTTCAGAAGCGGGGCGAGCCACATCCTATCGCTGAGGTATCCTGTATTTAAAAGAGAAACACATACGAGATTTATCACCCCCATTCCTTATATACTGCTTTTGACAATGCCATCTAGCGATAGTTAGCAGAAGTTCTTTCGCAGACAAGTGGAGTAATACTACAGATTAATAAATAGGGAGTCTTAAGTCAGATTTCCACAAGAGTTACAAAGTTACCAGGTTTATACTCAAGTCTGAAATTATCCACTCAGAAGGTAGCCTCTTTTCGGGGGGTCTTGCCCGTCTGGTGGGGATGTAGTCAGTGTATTCTAAGCCCCACCGACAGCATTAATGGAACAATGAGGTAGTTAATATTTGATACAAAATTTGCTATGCAACCGACACGTATGAAAGTGCCTTGTTCGAGTATTTTATCCAAGGTACCATACTTTTATCCAGGGTACCATAATTCACATTAGCAGAAAAGGAATATGAAAAAGGATAGGCAAAAATTATTAGAGAGGTCGTCTCGGGATTCTACCGTATATGTAGAAGCTGTTATTGATTGATCACTTGAGAAAAATTATGCACATGCATGAGCCCTATCGAATAATAAAAATAGAGGTCTTTTTATCGCGTAGAGCAGTGGTTCTCAAATGGTGCATCTGTGAGCACTGGTGCACCCTGGAAGATATCTAGGTGCACCCTGGCATTCCAGAGAAATATGTGTCCAAATATAAGAAATAAATATATTTACTTTATTATAGTGTGGTACCTGTCTCGTAGCGGATAGTCCCCGAGGAAAGTTTCAGTGATAGGAAGCTTTTGTTTTGCTGTATTGAACTGGTAAAAGTTGCTGGTCGATCCTCCATGCCTAGTTTGTAGGATTAGATTTCTATATTCTCTGTTTTAAACCAGTTAGAAGCTAAGTATTCTCAGTTTGTGCTGAACCTATTAAAATCGGCTCCAGAGTTCAGTACGAAACAATGCTTTCTGATTGGTCCATAAATAATAATGTCATGTTTCTGCCTAGGCCAGCACGGTTGACCTCGAGTTGACACGTTCAGAGTTCAACGCGCCAAAAAAATGTAAACGTTTTCAAGCCCCCACGTGATCAAGAAAACTCATAAATATGAAACTTCGACGGGACTTAGTGAATCCTTAAAATAATCAACTCGTCACTCGAATTCATAAAACCCAACTTACTCGCTAAAAGTTGATTTTTATTGACATCAATCTGGCTTGTGGAATTCAATTTCCTTTGAACATCAACTCATCTAGTGACCAATTCAACTAAGACGAGATTCAGAAACCAACTCAAGCAATATCTTATCAACATAAAGGAAATCGTAACTATATCAGTCGAAGCGAGACAACTCTACAGTCAAAAAATCTATTTCATTCAATTTCACCATCAACATAAACTGTTTGATTACTTACCAGATCTGTAGCATAACACCTCTTATATTACCCTTGATCACACAACCAAGAATGCTAAAGTGTTTTAAATAACTTTATTATATCGTGTGTACTTGTTATGATATAAAATTAATACTTGTTAAAAGAAATATCTGCCTATTTGATTATTTCTCTTGTTGTTGTTTTTTTTTTTTTTTGTAGCATTTGATTTAGTAAAAATAGTAGAGGGTCAGTTTAATTTGTATTTGTCACCGATACAGATTGGCTAACCCACTACAAGTTCGAGAAAGTTGATTACTAAAAGATGTGTAGCGACGGGGTTACCAATATTGTAGCGGGTTGTCACCATTATGTAAGGGTGTGTAGTACATACATTTAATTTTGGCTAGGAAAGGTGAGATTAAGGACAATGCGTGGACGCAATGCAATTTATATTTGACGTAAATAGCACATAGTATAAAATACAAAACAGAATATATTGATTTCAAAACATAACAATTGAATTTATTAGTGTTTGGTGTACAAGCATTTAAGCTGAAGGTGTGGTAGAGTTATGTCTCTTAGATTTGGAAATATTTGTACTTGAGCTCATAAAGAAGAAGTAATTATTAAACTGTAGTTTAAAAGAATAAAGTTCCTATAGCATGTTTGGAATTGTGAGTTGTAAACCTTGGTAAGAGTTCAGAAGAGATTTTAGAGTTCGTACTGGCGTGAAGGTTGGTAATGGTCTTTAACGTCTGACTGCATAGTCAAAACAGGAGTTCTTGGAGATTACATCTTGGCAGCAAGATGAATGAAGAGAAAACACGAGGGAGCTTACACGTGTTTTGTTTATATATGGCTGTGTATCACGTGGGAGGCTCAGATCGAAAACGCGGGAAAACAGATTTGTCGCGTGCAGGCGGTTTGATTGGTCAGAACTGACCAATCAGCGAGCTAGTTTTGAGTAG